GAACCCTTTCACTCTTCGTCTCTCTCTCTCTAAACTGTTAAACCTTAGCTGCCCATATATTCTTTCACCACCTCCGCCGCAGACCACCTACCGGAAATCGCTTCACGGCGGTTCCGGTGGTCCAAAACATCCCAAATTCACACCCCGAACCCTCCTTCACCTCCTCAGTCCATATATCCAACTATTTTCCTTCGAATCACTGTCAAACTCCTTGAATCTCAAATCGAAATTTCGATACCAAAACCCTAACTGCTTCAAACCTCTCCCCCCCCCCCCCCAATTAACACCCTACAGTCCTTGCCCCTACCTGAACCTCAAACCACCCTTAGCCCCCCTCGAGTCAGCCCCAATCTAGTCGAAGTTTAAATCTCAGATCTCGAAAAAACCCTAATTTTTTCTTTCTTCTTCACTTGATTAGTGCTTGGTCAAATGAACTAAAATATCCATTAATCGACTGTTCTTATTAATGTTGATTAACGTTCATTTATGCCTTTTGAAGTTTGGCCGAGTTCATAACAAAATCCAATTTTAGGTNCAATGACAACTCTAATTAGATATTTCATTAGAAGGTATTAGTTGGTGTTTTACTCATGCTTGAAAGATGCATTGTTACTTCAGCTGAATAGTTTTAGATTTCAAAATCGTTAAATAGGCCATGTATGTATGCCTGCTGAATAAGTTTAAGCATGTTTTAAGTTTATGAATCGTTGTTAAGAGCATGACAAATGAACTAGAAGCCTATAGTCTGATTGTCAAATGCATGTTTGGTTTTCGAGATTCTCATTAGTTTATCTTATTGTTATTTGTGAATTAAGGGGTGTGGGTTTTCAGTCATGGCTCGTTAGAGTTCCCTTTAACAAGCTGAGCTTAATTCTGGCCCCACGAACTGGCCTGCCTATTATGAGCCCAGAGTGACCAGATCCGGCCTTCTGCCATTTTAGGCTCAATTTCAAGACCAACAGGATCCAACCTTGACTTATCTCTTTTCCATATCCTCCCCCCCCCCCCAAAAAAAAAAA